CCCTACCCAAGGCCGCCGTTGAGTGACCCTGCCGACCTGAACAACAACCGACGTACCCAGGATTGGAAATTTCCCACCATGCCGCCGCCAGCGTCCGCGAACCCAGAAGTGTTTCGATTCCCTCTTACCAATGATGCTTCGGCCCCTAACTCGGCAAGACCGGCGTTGATGCATCACCCCACAGAGTCGTATCAAACATCCACGACGTTGAGCGAGCTCGCCCCCTCCAGCTCAAGTACAATGGACAACCGTGCCTCTGTTGGGAGCTTAATCGACCTCGACATGAGTTTCGCAGACTCCGGAACAGATTATACTCGCCCATCAACGTCTCACTCGGATGTAGCTTCCATGAGCGGCTCGGAAATCGGCGGCGCAAACCCCTTCGAGCTTGAAAAGCATGCATCGCTCTATGTGCTACCCACGACGGTTCGAGAACCCTCCATCTATGTGTCAGACGACTCGGAGTTTTCCAGCGCCCTCGCCGACTACCCCGACCCCTCGTCTGACAACGAACAGCCCCATCAGGATGACCAAAACTCACAGCAAAGTTATCCCCCTTCAAGGCCGTATTCCCTAAGCGAGTTCGCAGACATGGACCCCGAAGACATCACCCCTCAGCAAACAGTCGGGCCCAGCGTTTCCACCTTTCCCGCTACCTATCAAGATCCTCCTCCCCCACAGCCAGCCCTCAGCCAACCCCGCGCGTCATATCAGGACATCGTCCTGCCACCTTTGCCTCTTGCTCCGTCACCATATGTCATGCAGGGACAGGCATCGGCAGAAGACGTCAAGAACGAGCTGCGTCGACTGGCAATGAGCCTGGGGGATCACTTGAGTCACGCAAATGCCTATTTGAACAGCTTGCCTGTTGGACGGGGTAGTGTAACGCGAATGGAGTCTGTCAGTGATGGAAGCTAAGAAATTCTCTTTGTGTATGTGTAAAGGGCATGTGATGTTGGGAGAGGATGGACAATGTACTATGATGTATGAGATTGGTGAGCGAAAGAAAAGTGCACTTGCTATTGGCATAACTTTGGGCTCGGAAGCACGGAGTCGGATGTTTTTCCTAGGAAGGATTGTACCCGGGTGTAGGGAGGCGTTTTTCATCGTGACTGTTTTAGCTCTCAGGGCATTTTTTGATACTACAAATAATTTTTCCATCTCATTTGCCTGTCATTCCATCGCAATGTGAAACCCAGACTTTGTCTAATTAGACCCAAGCAAGTCCCCCATCAATAACGCCTGATACTTCTCAATAGCTTCGCCCAGCTTGATCAAGACGCCTGCCGCCAACATCTTGACATCATTCTCCTCGCCGCCGTCATCCCCACGCGTCCGCTCAAATACACTTGACACCCACTCGCGCGACTCTACGACCTCCCTGCCTTGCTCTTCGCATATCCGCCGCATATTATCTTCATTTACCTCTAGCAGCACTGACATGGCTACCAGCCAGCCCTTGAGGGCGCCCAAGTCCCCTAATACATGGACTCTCACCCGTAATAGCAGATCCCACAACTCAGAAGTAAGTTGTGGCAGGGAGAGTGTCGACGGACCGGCAGCATTTACGACAATACCCAGTGTTTGGAGATAGAGGGCTAGCATGGAGGGATTCAAAACGACGGGTCTAGAGGAGCGCAGTGCAAATTGGAAGTGCGCCGTGAGCGGGAAGAAGAAGTATGTCCCTAGAATAGCGGCAGTAGTATTTGGTATCACACGCATACGCGGTTTGTTTCGGGACTTGGACTTGTACCGCGCGGAGAATGTTTGGAGCTTTAGTGCGTCAGGTCCAGTGTTTGCGTCGGCGGCTTCGGCGGCGAGGGGGGCAAGGAATGTCGATGTCAGGGACTGGGCAATGTTGTCGATGGCATTGGGAGGCAGGGGTTTGAGGTTGGATGAGGAGAGTTGGCTTGTGGAGGTTCTGGGCTCTAGGTAGAGCTGTTCAATGTTTTCGGGGAGTCGTTTCGACGGGAATGACGATGAAGATTTGTATTCTGAGATATCGAGACCGGCTAGTTCGCGAGCTGATAATCCCAGGGTGACGAGAACTGACGTTCGCTGTGAGAGGGAGTAGTCGCCTTCGAAGAAAGTACGGGCGAACCATGGTGCCATGGCCTTGGGCTGGGAGATTACCAGGGCTACCATGCCTTGAAGGCGCAAATCTTCAAAGTTTTCAATTTCGAATTTGTCTTGGAGGCCGACCAGGAGTCGTGCAAGCTCTTCGGCGTGTGAACTGACTTCGGTGCCATAGTTGGCCTTTCGGCGAATGAGTGCGGGAGCTGTTTGCACTCCAAGTTTCTGCTTGTCGTATGACTCTGAGTCTCGTAGGAACGTGATGAGGTCACGAACATAAACTGGGGGTTTGGGCTTGTTCCGTTGAACCAGGGTTGGATCATCATCCGAATCTTCGTCATCCGTAACCTTTGCTGCAGTGGGGAGATGATCGTCATCGTCATCGGACGAGTCAATTTCTTCAATGATGGCTTTTGGGGCTAGCTCGCTAACAACGGGTTTATGTTTTTGTTCCCTCTTCGGTTGCGGTTTTTGAGCCCGCCGGGGGCGCGGTTTCGTTGGCTGTGGCGGTGGAAGATTGGAAAGAAGCGACTCAACTGGCCCGATAGGATCCGAGACTTTAGTTAGACCTTTAAGCCATTGTGCTTCTTCTGTTTCCATTTCATCCATGTGAAAATCGAGCTTCTTAGTGTTGTTGTCAGACAATGCGGATAGGCCTTCTCCGACACACATGCCCAAAAAGCGCGCTCTGGCATTGGTGGAGGCAATCCGATTAGATATTGTTGATAAATAGCTTCCAGAGCGAAGAAGCATGGTTAGTTTTATGGGAGATAGCTTTGCTACATATGCCGCACTGAGCAGTAATACTTGGGTGTGGGCTGCAGAAATAGTCAGCGCGCCTTGAACTGAGTGTGGTTCTTGTTATCCTCACCTTCTTGCTGTAGAATTGCAGTATGTTTGATGTAAAGCTGGTCTCCGAACTGGTTCAAGCTCTTCTCCAAAAGCGACGTGATTGTCTCTTTGTCCTTTGCCAGAACAGTCACCACAGCTCGTCGAATACCAACCCCATCACCTAGCCCAGCCCCAGAGGGACTGCAGCACCAATTCAAGAGATGGGTTTTGCGACCCGCGTCATTCTGTATTACACCATCAATTACGCCAGCAACGGCAGAGACCTCCTCGACGGGTTTCGCATCTTCCAACTCCAGGTGATTCAAGAACTTTTGTGATAGATATTCTAGGAGTATGTATATCACTTTCTTGGATGTCTGCGGTTGGTGGAGACAAACTTTGGAGAATAATCCAGAAGATGCACCTCGAGACAGCAGGAGCTGGTCAATGACGATAGTAAGCAAAGTCTCTATGTAGCATCAGCTCATGAACTCATTATCTTGGTAAAGGGACAACTTCTTACCCGGATATCCCAAGGACAAGGATCGTTGAAACACCTCAAAACAAGTCTGAAGTTCAGCAGCCTCCAATTGAACCTTGGCCCAAGTTGCGATGTTTCGTCCTATCCACTTGCTATACTCAACGCCATCCACAAGCCATCGACCAGGGATTGGGTTTCCTTCCTTGGCAATAATCTCTGAGGCCTCGGCAGAAATGGATATGATACGGCCGCTAGTTACCAAGGAGAGCAGCGTTTGAGACTGGACTTTTCTCGAAACTGCATCCGCTAAACCAGCCGTTGAAGATTGCCAAATTCGTCGAATTGAGTCATCTCCATCCAATAGCACGGACAAGAGGTCCAGAAAAATATCAAGGTGTAGGTTGATATCAGGCCTCTTGACATGCTTCGTAGCGAATTTTGATTCCTGGACAAGTGCCTTTATGTGTCCCACTACCGCGTTGATGCCAGCGACACTCTGCAAACTCGAAACCAGGCCCACGGCATCAGCGGATGCCGAAGCCAAGGATGCAGGCTCTTTAATGGAATATTCTTGCTGTAGTAAAGTCCAATAATTCGGTACGATTTCCGACACAAGAACATGAATGATGGCAGCGCTCTTGGGACTAGGCACATGAATATTAAACTCGGAAGACGCCTCTTCCTTGGTAAGAAATCGAAGGGCCGAAATCAGCGAGTCATAGTCCGGCTGGCTCTTCAGGACGGACAACGCGTCATCCGCAGAGAGAACCTTGGAAAGATTGGAAAGCTCCGTAGTTTTCGTAGCCATCAACGGCTCCCCATCTTCCCTCTTCCGCAAGTACGTCGTGCTCACCGGGGTGAGTAGTTCATCCATGCTGGCTGACCAGCTCTGGTCTTCCAGAGTCACAGTGCTGAAAACATGAGATATTACAAAGGTTATATCGTCATGGGCCGGGATTACGAGAGCTTTCAAAGTTCACGACCACTCGTTGGCCTGGAGTAAATGCAGCGCCTACTGAGGTCAAACTGGTTTAAGGTTGCGCGCCCCACCCTCCACCGACCACCAGCTTCTAGATTCATGTACCCAGGTACTTGGACCTGTCGACGTTCACCACCTGCACTCTCTCTTTTCTGCCTATATCTCCGTCTCCGTCTCTCCATCTCTCCGTCCTCTCTCCTCCCCCGTAAAACCAAGTCTCCCTAGGGAACCGTACGGCAAATGGATGATAAAATGAGCATAACTACTCAGTCCACGCCAGATTCTGGGACCATAAATGAGGAGGCAAGATGGTGCGTACATTTCAAGCACTGACTAACATAACGGACCACCTGTTTCTGACGACGTGAAATAGGAAGTATATTGATCATATACGACGAACCCCTGGGCCCTTTACCGATCCAGAGGCCACATCTGAAGAATTTCTAGCACAATTTGAAAAAATCAAAGTTCTGTGCGTTTCGTCTTGACACATTGACACAGCCAACAGTCACAGCTAACATTTTCACACCAGCGTCATGTACGTTTCACTCGCCCACGAGCGCATGTCATCTCACTCACCAATACCATTCCAGCGGCGCAGGAGGTTTAGGGTGCGAAATCCTCAAAAACCTCGCCATGTCCAAGTTCAAAGACATTCACGTTATTGACATGGGTACTCCGCGGCTCCCCCTTCCTCCGCCCTCTACCAGCCTCAATCCCCCCCCTCACTAACCTTGGTCCTCTAGACACTATCGACGTATCCAACCTAAACAGACAGTTCCTCTTTCGCAGCTCAGACGTAGGTAAATATAAAGCCGAAGTGGCGGCCAGATTCGTCCAAAACCGCGTAAAGGGCGTCACCATCACCGCACACAACAACAGGATCCAGGACTTTGATGAGACCTTCTACAAACAATTCCAGCTCGTCATCTGTGGCCTCGACTCCATCGAAGCACGCCGATGGATCAACGCTATGCTTGTCTCTATCGCCGAGGAATACGAAGCCGACCCAGATTCCATTAAGCCCCTTATCGACGGCGGCACAGAAGGCTTCAAGGGTCAATCCCGCGTGATTTTGCCTTCCATGACATCCTGCATCGAATGCCAACTCGACATGCACGCGCCCCGAGCAGCCGTGCCCCTCTGTACCATTGCTTCTATCCCGCGCCAGCCGGAACACTGCATCGAGTGGGCGCACGTCATTGCATGGGAGGAGGAGAAGCCGTTCCCGAGCCTGGACAAAGACGAGCCGGAGCACGTCACCTGGATCTACCAGAAGGCGCTCGCTCGCGCCCAGGAATTCGGCATATCGGGCGTGACATACTCCGTCACGCAAGGCACCATCAAAAACATCATCCCCGCAATAGCGTCGACAAATGCCATCATCGCGGCATCCTGCTGCAATGAGGCGTTCAAAATCGCTACCAACTCTGCCCCATGCCTGGGCTTTGAAAACAACTACATGATGTACTCTGGCAACGACAGCATCTACACATATACATTCAAGCACGAAAAGAAGGATGATTGTCCTGTTTGCGGGAGAAAGGCCCGTCCACTAGAGGTTGACCCCAAAGTTACTTTACGAGAGCTCGTGGACTCGTTTGCTACGAGGCCAGAGGCACAGCTAAAGAAGCCATCTATACGAGCCGAAGGGAGGACGTTGTATATGCAGTTCCCACCGGGGCTGGAGAAGCAGACGCGACCGAATCTGGACAAGACGATTATGGAGTTGGGATTGATAGATGGGCAGCAAGTTGTTGTCACGGATCCGGCTTTTCCGCTAGAGTTTAACTTTTTCTTCAAATTCAAGGAGGCATAGAACAGCTCGAATTGTTCATACTTCCATTCCTTGATCCAGGGTGGGGGACGAGTATTTTGGTATTTATATTCGTCGAATATGCCAGAGCTGCGCAAGCTTCAGGCATTGGTGACATAATGACTAACCCTTCCATGCAGATATATACCTTTACCATCTACATCACCAAGGCCTCACATGCAGATGAAAGTAGATGAAATTATCGAGAAATATAACGTCATGGTATCATACCGTTTTATCTACCCATAGAAAAGGACCAAAAACTGCAACGCAGTTCACAAACACAAAAAGGAAGATAGCCGTAATATACACAAACTCCAGTTATATGCCCACTTTTTGCCCTCCCCCAATACAAAATCAAGGTTTACCTCGCCATATTGACAACCTGCTGCTCCAACTTTTTACACTTCAACTTCATGTGCTTTATGGCCTCCATGAATAGCTCATCACTATCCCACTGACCCGTGCTCTCGATCGAGAAGATGAAGTGGTCCCTCCTCCTGCCGAGCTTCACCTTGCCCTCAAACTCAGCATGTCGAAGACACTCTCTGCTCACGGTATCCTTCATAGCGTCCTTAACCACAGCCTTCTTCACACCAGCGTGGCCCTCGTATCCGCTCCCAGCCTTCTTGGCTTCTGCTGGCGTAACCTTTTCCAGGCCAATGACCCCCTGCGGGAAGCACCTGGCAAACTTCTCGGCGTCGGCACCCAGAATAGGCTTCAAGATCTTAATCGTCGGCATGAGGCGGTATGAAGCGGTGGCAACAGGCGAGAATTTGGCATGGTCAGCGCCGATGCCCTTGTGCATGTGCATCGACAAGTTGATCGTCTGTCTGGGCCGCAACTTGGCGATGAGAATGTCCGGGTTGACGGGGGCGATGGCGTCCTCGCCGCTGAAGAACTCGACCTGCTTGCCCGTGGGGACAAACACAATATCCTTGGCGTAAACATGCGCATTGTTAAAGGCCTCGAGGGGGTCGCGCTCGTCCGGCGCTGCGTCCGGGTTCACAGTGCAAGTGACGTTGAGTTCCAGGCGCACCGTGTTATAGTCGAAACAGCCGGCGTAGGGGTCCTCCTCTGCCTCCGGCTTCTTGTGCCACTTCAGAAAGTTCTTGAGGCCGTCGCGGCCGCCGTTGAAGGGGATCAGGCCCAGCCGGTGAGCGAGCACCTCGTCCTGGATCACCGACGTGTTGTTCTCGATGTATACGTTTTCAATGGCTAGAGTGGGGATCTCGGCGATGAGAATGCGGCGAAAGGCGTTGGCCAGTGAGGCATCGAGGCCCATCAAGGAGAAGGAAGAAGAGTTGGCCTCGTTCTGGTGGAAGTTGACGGAGAAGCCGGCTCGAAAGCGATCGAGAGAATAGGCGTGATCCTCGCCCGGGAAGTGGCCCGGGTAATCGACAGACGTTACATCAGTGACAGTCTCGAGGTTAATGCCCACAGTCTATCGCAAAGAGTGGCTTGGTTAGCTTGAATTTTGAGGCGACGCATTACTCCCCGTGCTGAGCCTCAACAAGGTGCAAGATACCGCTAAGAAAATACACTTTGGGAGAGAAGAAACGTACATTGCGTTGCTCTTCCACTTCTGCGCTAGGCGTGCTTCGCCAGTTGGCCATTTTTTCTGGTGCCATGGCTGTATACAATGCGTCAATGGCAAGTTGTTGAGTATTTTTCGGTTGTGAGCCGCGAGCTTGGAAATTTTTTGTACGCCCCTCCGACTCAAGCCCAGGGCCGCAGGTGACGAACAAATCTCCAACCAAGAAAAAAAAAAGCTGGGTAGCACCAAGTGCAGTCAAAGCTGATGGACCCACCTGAAGCCAAACTAGGCTTGGTTGGCATGTTACCGCGGCGGCCCCACAAGCATGAACTTGTGGTTAACTTCGTGGTCATCAATCTCTTATACAGATGTATACAAAGTTCAAGGTTTTTCACTCAGACTCCTAAGACAGCTCCACAGTCTATGCAAATAATGCATTTGGTCTTCGTATTTGATACATTATCTTCATGCCCCTAAAATACATTTGTAATCTTCCATGCTCTTTGAAATAGGTCCACCAACAATCGCGGCGGCCGCCTAATCGATATCTTCCAAGTTCCATACATTAACGCCTCGTTTGCCCACACTGTCCTTCAACTTTGATAGTACGGCCTGACGCCTAGCCCTTTTTTCCATCAAATCACTTTTCTCATCCTTGCTAAACCCGCTAAGTTTCTTCCTTGGTGGCGTGCCCTTCATCGCCGCGTCCCGGGACATTACACCAGATGACATCGTCAGGCTGTGGCGGAAGTTGCGGGACGGAGTCACGTCTGGGGACATCATGATGCTCTTTCTCGCTTGTGGTGTCACCATTGGAGATGCCTCACGGCTTGTTGACCCGAGTTTCATCTTGCGCAGCTGCGTCTCCAACACGTCGATGTCTCCGCTTCGCTTTTCAGCCATTGAGGTCATCTTCGAAATGGTGCGCATGATCGCTTCGACTGTGGGTACATTGGCGCTTCCTCTGACTGATGAGCTTGACATAGCTGCAATTCTGGTCTTGAGAAGAGTCAATGCCTCCTCTGCCTCTGTCAGAAGCTTCGTAAAGTTGGTAAATTCCCTTCGTAATTCATTCTGTTGAGCAGCTTGTTCTGCGCTGAGGGGTAGCGTTCGGGCTTGTTCAGCCTGTTCTGGGTCCGTTCGAGTCATAATGACTCTTTTGAGGTCTTCTTGTTTAGCTCGTAGTCGCTGCATATCTCGTGACAGGTCTTGACAGGCGTCCAACTTGTCATCCAAGTTTTGCACGCGACCGTTCTCGAGATCTGAGTGCAGCTCGTTGTCGAGGACTTCGCCCAAGTCATTAATCTCGCATAGAACCCAATCATCCGGAATCTCAAGATCTTGTTTACTTCGGCCATCTTCCGCGGCATTCTCAGTGTGACCTTTTGTGAATGCCTTGACCGCCCGCGCGTTGAGGCCCAGTGTATCAATCATAGAGTTAATATCACGATACACAGCTTCCACTTGAGAAGGAACACTTTCTTTCGCAGGCGGGGCAACATTTGAGTGCGCAATAAATTCATCAAGTTGCAAGGTGCCTTCAACTTCGGAAGAAAGCACCTTTTGCATTTCTTCATCCTCCTCGTCAACCAGAGGCTGAGTCTCTTCCGCCTCTTGTCGCTCCCTCATACGTCTATGCTGAAGCATAAACGGATCCTCGCCCGGCGGCTGTTTCTCCCTGCTACTGATGATGGAGCTGCCGGGGTGCATTTGAGACTGCTTCGCTCCAAGAATCTGTGATGCCACACCGGGAGCACTAACCGACCGTGTAGCATCGGATCTAATCACTCTCTGGGGTACAGCACCGCGCACAGGACTAGGCGAACGGGGACTAGCCTGACTTGGCTTGGGGAAAAGGGCGGGTGCACCGCGACTGATTTCTCCAAACAGTGGACGAGCCCTATCTTCGGGTCGGACAGAGGCCGGTGTCGCCCCTGCAATGCCGCCGAACGAACTTTGAGGGGTGAAACCAGGCGTGATGTTCAGGCCACTCGTCACTGGGCTTAGGTCCTTTGCGACATCTACTCCGCTTCCTTCTGAGACTTCATCCTCACCCAGGTCACTCTCATCGTCTTCCGTTGTTTCTGGGAGGGAGGGTATGCTCGACGGCTCTTTTGAAGGGGGCCCTGGCAAAACAAAGCCTGCCGCCGCTGGCGCATCATTGCCATTGGCTGTGGTCGTGGCCTGGGTGGAATCAGCAGGTAGCGAAGTCTGAATAGAGGGCTTCTTGGTGAAGTCGGGTGGCAGCGGAGCATCCTCAACAACAATAGGGTTTTCGACCTGTTCGGTGACCTTGATGACGTCAGGTTTAGGGCTAGGTTCCGCTTGCTTGACCGTTTTTGAAAAGACGGACGGCAGCGAAGCATCGGGTTGGGTCAAGGAGGGTTTCGGGGTTGCAGAATCGGATGATGAAAGCGTAGAATCATGCTTCAAGGGCGTAGTAGTTGATCCAAATAATTGGGTACGATTAGATGTTGCCGAGGAAGATGAAGAACCATCCACAGGATAAGCAGCTTTGCTTGTTGTGTCAGGTGGCAAGGGAGTTTCTTCTTCAACTTCGACCTTAGGTTCCCCGGTAGCTGAATCGGTAGCTTTGGATGATCCAAACAGAGAAAACCCGCCAAGTTTCGGAGTGTCTGTAGGAGTGCCAAATAAGCCAGTAGAAGGTGTTTCTGTTTTGGTCGCTTGTCCAAAAAGTGAGGTTCCGGGAGTTGATGATGTTGCGAAGCTAAACCTTGAAGGTCCAGGAGTCGTTGTTGGAGTAGTGGATTCTTGGGGTTGCTGGAGTGGGAAAATCGATCGAGACTTGCTCTGAGGAGTCTCTTCAGTGGTTTCAGTTGTATCCATGTCCTCATCCTTGGCCGAAGGTGTGGCTTCACTGGGTTTGCTGGTGGCGACAGCCCCCAAAGCCGATCCGAATGCGCTTCCGAACATCGAGCCGCCAAAAGTAGTGGAAGGCTTCTCGTTCGAATCATTTTGGAATGGGTCCGGTTTGAAGGACGATTCTAGCTTAAACGGTGTTGATGACGCGAAAGGGTTTGCAAGTGGTTTGTCTTGTTTAGCAGGGAAAGCAGTGTCTGCTGAGGTATTGGATTTCGCCAGTGTACCAAAAGTGCTCGCACCAAACGTACTGCCCTTTCCGAATCCGCCTGAACTACTATTGTTGCCACCTAATGCTGAAAATCCGCCCTGAGAAGAGAATGCGGAAAAGCCGCTTCCAGTTGATGGTGCTGCAGGTGCTGCATCACTGGTGTTGGAAGTGGAAGTGGCGGAACCAAAGGGACTTTGATTGTTGCCTCCGCTAGCAAAGCTAGAGAAACCTGACTGCCCAAACGCAGGCTTCGAACCAGCGCCTGGTGCCCACGGAGACGTTCTCATACCCAACTGCGAGGATTGGCCAAAGCCCAAGGAGCTGGTTTTGCCAAATGCTGAGCCTGTGCCAGATGGCGAGCTGCCAAAAGTGCTGGAGCCAAATGCAACGCCCCCTGTGGAAGTTGCTGGTGTTGTAGTTGACGCCCCCCATGGTGAAGATTTCTGTCCCAGCTGTGAGGAACTTCCAAAAGCCGGTGGTGCGATCGGTGTTGTAGACGAGCCAAAGGGAGTTGAGGAAGCAGCGGCAAATGGAGAGGCAGAAGTTGCTGCTGCTGTGGGTGTTGAGGCTGGTGCTGACTGGACTGTACTATCCATCATGGCTAAACCAGAATAGTTTTGTCCCTTTTTAACTGCTTCATTGTATACTAACCACCACGAGCAAAGAACGCCTTCATTGGTCAGAGCCCAGAATCCGGGTAGAGGTCCCGAGGACTGGTCTAGTTCTTCGTCTGATGGAATGGGCTTGTAAACCGGGTCTTTGCTGGAAAGATCCAGAGCTACGCCAATAGCCACTGAGTCATCCATGCTCTCCGTCATAGGCAAAGTAGGTCGTCTCGCATCCCCCAAGATTTCAGTAGTAGTGAACACATTGGTGATGGAGTCGGCTGGCTTGTCGTGAGCCAGCGGCGTCTTTGACCTTGTCAAAATTCCAACGTCCGTTGAGGCAGTGGAGGACACGATGAGAAGATCCTGCAGGTCTGAAAAGTCCCTTAACCGCAAGATGGCGTGGTGAGGGGGTTTCTCTGCCCCAAAAGGCTCGACGGGATCCGTTAATTTTTGGAATGTGAATGACGATGGTGGTTGCCGGCTGATAATGTGATATATAGAGCTGGGCGGTGACTCGTGTGTCATGCTATGAATGGTAAGGAATAAGTTGTTTTCCAACCATATGAGGGAAGAGACTGAGGATTCGATGTTAGTACGTATGACGTAGAAAGACGAGAGTTAAGGCCATGCCCATACCGTGACAGTCTCCTGAATTTGGAGGCTTGGGAATATTCCCCTTGCTATCGCCCTCAGGAGTCATTTGAGAGATAGTCCCATCAGCCATACCAGCGCAAAGCTGCTTGCCCTTGGCACTCCAACTGAGGCAACTCACTTGAGTTTTCAAGGGGTTACTCAAGCTCCGTTCCTTAAAGTTCGCCATGTACAGGTTTCCATTGCTAGTCACGACAGCACAGAGCTCAGATTTTCCCGCCACAGGATTGGGCGCCAGGTACAGCAAAGATTCGCCATTTGTGGATAGCTCAAAAGCAGAATTCGACGACCCCTGGAGGAGGCTCTGCACCTCATAGACTGCGAGGCCGCCACCCGACTCTGCCGACAATATTAGATGGTTTTCATCTGCAGTGAAAGCAAGATGCGAAATGCGCATAGGCATAGGGATTTTGAGTTGGGGTTCAAAGGAGCGAACTTCTGACTCGCCATCCTTTGGGGAGGTGAAAGCTTTTCGAACGGACTCGGTCGTAGCAATGGTTACTTGGTCGGGGCCGGCAGCAGCCACAAGGCCCCTTCGGGAGGCGATACTAAGTAGACTTGATGTCTGGGCAGGTAAAGAAGGCCATGGTGAAGTTAGGCGAACCTTTGCCTCGCCAGCAAGAGGCGGGAATCCGAGACCCTGCAGTCGCAAGCCGCCATTAGCCATCCTTGTGTTCATTTCGCAAAAACCGGCATGTCTTGTGATATAAAACATGGACGCTTACCTCAGTCTGTATCGTCTCCAAGTCAGGTCCAACGGATGCTTCTACTCCAGCTGCACCGCCATCACCAAGGGTGTTTGCAGTGTTTCCAAAGCCAAAAGACATGTTTGCCGCACAGATACCAGCCTGTTTAAAAGTGGTCCAAGTTCTTCAATCCAGCATGTACATGAGCAAGAGTCTTGGAATGCCAAATGCGTATCGAAAAACCTGTCATGAACGGAAACGCATTCATTCTCCAGAGCATCAAAGCAGGCTGCAAAAGGATAGCAGTGTCATAGACAGATGCAAAGCGGCGACAGTAGACGCGACAACTTGCTGTCAATCCTTGATCTGGTGTCTACAGCCAACAAAAGGAAACGAATCGTATAATTGGCGTACGTGCGAAGATGGCCGGCAGAAAAGCAACGGATGAAAAGCAAACAGAAGCCAGCGCAGCAGTGGCACAGTCTGTCGCGATGACCTCCAAGGCCAACTTTTTTGGTAGCTCCTAGTTAAGGCGTTGGATGGAAGGCACCAGCCACGTGACTGAGCCGCACCAAGCATGGCAGGAAGCTTGGACCAATCAGTCACGCTGTTGACTGAACGCCACACGCTGAGATGCTTGTACTTGCGCGCGCCCAGCACTTGGGCACTACTGGGGGGAAGCTCGCCTGCCTGAAGTGCGAATCGAAGGCAGCTTTTAGCCTCGTCATCCAGGTCTCTGCCTTCTCAACCTCCCTCTACGCCAACCACACCCACGACTTCGAGCCTCCATCAAACGAAATCAACAACCACAATTCCGCAATCACATTCTTCTTCAATCCCGCCAGTTTCGGACTCCCTAACGCGATCCGCTCTAAAGTAGCTTCAGAGATACGAAACGATCCGTCAATCGGTGTAGCAGCGAAACACTGCAGACCGAACAGGACGACAACCATCCACAATGCCGGGTTTCGATTTCTCCAACTACAACCGCAATGCGGCACTACATGCCAGAGGCGTGCCTCTTCCCAAAGCCACCAGCACGGGCACAACCATTGTAGGCTGTATATTCGACGGCGGTGTTGTCGTACGTACTTCCCCGAAGCCAATCAACCAACCCATCATTCATGGCCCAGCTTCATACGCCATAACCCTGAAATCACCCCCCGATACTGACAGGTAACACCTTTACCTAGATTGCTGCCGATACCCGAGCCACATCAGGTCCCATTGTCGCCGACAAAAACTGCGAAAAGCTGCACTATATCTCGCCCCAGATCTGGTGTGCAGGAGCCGGCACCGCCGCCGACACCGAATTCACCACGGCCCTCATCTCGTCTCAGCTAGAGCTGCACTCGCTCTCTACGGGCCGCAAACCCCGAGTCGTCACCTGCATGACGCTCCTGAAGCAGCACCTCTTCCGCTACCAAGGCTACATTGGTGCGTATCTGGTCGTCGCGGGCTGCGACCCGACGGGCACCCACCTGTTCACCGTCCACGCCCACGGCAGCACCGACAAGTTGCCCTACGTCACCATGGGCAGCGGTAGCTTGGCCGCCATGAGTGTTTTTGAGACACAGTGGAAGCCAAACTTGACGCAAGAGGATGCCGTCAAGCTAGCCAGCGAGGCCATCTTGGCTGGTATCTTTAACGACTTGGGCTCCGGTTCCAACGTGGATGTTGCCATCATCACCAAGGACAAGACGACGCTCAAGAGAAATTACATTAAGCCTAATGAGAAGAGTGCCAAGTTGCAGAGTTACGCATACCCCAAGGGCACGACGGCTGTTCTCAATGAGAAGATAATCAAGAAGAATGAGATTGGGCGATACGTTACCGTCACAGAAGTGCCACTTGAAGGGGAGAAGATGGACGTGGACACTTGAAGATTGAGTTTGATAGTGAGTTAGAAACTAGAAGCGGTAGCAAAGTGAGGTAGACACATGTAACAATACGAATAAACCCTTTCTTTCCGTCTTATATCCTATCCTAGCAAATCGCGAAGACTACACTCCCGGTGCCACTAGTCGTCAAAATCAGGAGGATCTAGAAACACAACTGAGTCTCTGGAAATAAATAATATGCAATATTCTCGATTCATCTTTCAATACTGGGCATTCCGCCACAGGGTATATAAACAAATGCCTGGCCCCTCCAACCGGAGCCTTGGTCCAAGAACGAGTCAAAAAGACAAAATATGATAGATATCCGTTCCCCAGGAACAACATCGCCAAAGCGACAGCAACGGTGCCTGTCGTACACGAAATACGAAGGGAAAAGCTTTCCACAAAACGTTGGTCCCTATTACCCCATTCCCAGAACGATAATGCAATGACAAAGGAAGTTTTTATTTGTGTGCGTTCCGAAAAGAATCCCGGCAAGGGCGGTGGGAAATCATGCATCTCTTGAAAATTATTTCCACGGGTGGAAAGATTGAATTACCTGATGTATTTTCGCAGTCCAGTAAGGAACATGAGAGCCCCTCGGGCAGAAAGTGAAAGGAGGCAGGCAAAGAAGAAGTTAAAACGGGTAGAGAAAGGGGGGAAAAAAAGAATCCGCCTGCTTAAATGCTGACTGTAGAAACAAGGAGAGATATCCCGTAAGTCATGCTAGAGCAGAGCTGCCGGCCCGAAAGAAATAGATAAATATGGAAGAAAAATGAACTCCGAAGTAGATGGATATATGATGGATGTGGGGGGGAAACGTCATGGTCATGAGAGATTACACGACTAGCTTTTGTCGATGTAGAGGTCGATGAGTTGTCAAAGTGCCTATGAAGACTTGAGGCCAAACATGGTGCGTGTACGGGATTTGCTGCGTGTCTTTTTCCCGTCCTTGCTCGGTGACGGCTCGTCGTCGTCGTTGTATTTGGCTTTGTGGATCCTTTATAAGATGTTTTAGCATCGAGTACAAAGCGAGCGACGGCGAGTTACTTGAGTTGGCAAACTTACCAGCTATTTCCCACCATGCTCATTCCTTTTGCTTCAGCCATGCGGTAAAACTTGGCGCTCTTCTTCAGGTTCTTCTTGCATCCAATACCTTGAGCATAGCAAAATCCTGCTTCTGCAAGGGCATCGACATCACCCCAAGCTACAAAAGTCATGTTGATTAACACATCTGGCCAAGTACATCGGCTATTATAAAAACTTACTTCCAGCAATCTCAAAGCATCGCAGGGCAAGAGATTTGTCTTGTTCGATACCCCATCCATTCATATGAGAAACACCCAGCTCGTAAATGCTTAAAGCAAACTGGGCTTTGCGCGCCCGCCTCTCAACCACAGCCGCTGGGGCAGCACGGCCCTCTTTCACTTGATCTTCGTCATCCGCGATTTCGATGCTGGCATGCTCAGCTGCCTTTCTCAACCATTCGACACCTTCTCGTTGATTAGCTCGCATACCCCAGCCATGTCGGCATGCAAGAGCATATAGCAACATGGCAGTTGGTAAATTCTGTCTTGCGGCTAGTCGGAGATGGTATGTTGACTCATTCAAGGAGCCGTTTTCATGACACTCTATGCCCTTGGCCAAATGCTCTTCTGCCGACATTTCAGAGGCCGTTGGGGCCAAGGATCTAGACGTAGGTGGCGGCCGAATTGTGCTGGCAGAATCGCTTGTGTTTGTAGAGGCCGGCGTCCTGCCCCGGGATTGCTCATGCAGCGCTGATGTGAAGGCTCGCCCTCTTGGGCCATCCTCAGACTTCCGAATCGCGTCAACTGATGGCCGTGGAGGAAATGACGATGTGCCAGCAGCTGCGAGTCTCGAGCTCTCCATACTTACTTTACCAACGTCCATGGACGGCCTAGTTGTGCCACTCACCGTGCTAATCGCATCATCAGGAACTGTTCTAGCAGATGAACTAGAAGGTCGTGTAGGAGGTGATGGAGGTGCGCCATTGGGATAACGTTGAGCATTGCTGGATGATGCCACGGGCTGTTCCGAAGTGATCTCATTTGGCTCTTGTCGCTGAAGCGCTTTCCCTCTTGGAAGAGAAAATTTAGAATAAATGTACGATGGAGCAGCACCTTTAGCGTCATCCGTCTGCTGATCCATGAAGGCCTCGCTATGCATGCTAACAGGAGTATGTGCAGTATCATCAGCCAGGATGAATGATGGCTGGCTGTCTGATGAAGCCTGACGAGTTGGTACGTCGAACCCAGGTGTGCCAGCTCTACTAAGCGGTCGCGAGAAATTGAAAGACGGCCGTGGAAGAGCGGATGAATCAGATGCAGCAGACGGCGACCTCTTAAAGGATGAGGTCAAGGCAGGGGAATGCACAGAACTCGCCAGAGCAGCACTGCCGGAGGACAGTTTACGTGGCAAGGAATGAAACGAACTGCCCATGTTGCTCGAGTTCTCATCGTCTTCGAGAACGGGGGAGGAGAGGATGCTTGATGAGCGTCTGGGGAAGAGGGAGGGCGGTGGCACAAGACCCAGTTCATCAAAGCGGCCTTGCTTCATTCTCTCTGGAGAACCTGTAGAGACAGGTGCGTTTCGTGAAGAAGTGGACTGTAAGCTATTGTCCTTGCAAGCGGGAGATGGCTCAGAGTGCTTTTCATATTGGGACTGGCTATCACTCTGGATCGGTGATGGTGAACGCTCTTGGCGAGCGCCAAAGACATCTCCACGCTGCTGGACGGGGTCCATTTGTCGTCCTCGTAGGATATCAGGAAATGATCCAGGCAAGGCCGGTACGTCAACATCGGGGGTAGGCGGTATCTGGCTCATGCGCGGGTGCATCGACTTGGGCCGTTCCTCGTTTGTAAACGCATCCTCGATTTCGGTTTTGAAGCCAAAGCCAGAGGAGGGTTCTGGAGATTCAGGATCCGATACAGATTCTGCTGACATCGAACGGAAGTACTCTGATCGGCCTTGGACGATCAAAGGCGATTCAACAGTTAGAGGAGGTAATCTACTCATCCTATTTCCATCCCTGTTGCTTTCCTGCAGCTGCTTGGCCAGCAGGCGACTCTGAAGGGCAAATGCATCGAGAGGAGACAGCTCTGGCGGCACTTCGCCAGCGACGTGCATGCGCGGGGATCGCAAAGGCCTGGAGCTCGACGACATGGCAGAAGAGTGCGAATCAGCCCGCAGGTCAAGCAAGTCCGGGCGCTTCGGCATGTTGGACTCGTCGTGCACCGTCAA